GGCCAGGACTGTCGCTCATTATGGCTGTGACGAAAATGAGCTAATTGAAGAAGGGAGCGCTGACCAGTTTGTCAGATTAAACGAAAGATTTTAACCAAAAATGCCACAACAAACGGCACACTCACTCGGGCGAAAGTTGGTGGACAAGTTGTTATGTAGTTTCTAGATAATGCTAGATTATTCTAGGGATCCCCCAGGTTGAACGTAAAAACCTTAGGACAAAGTAAAGCGTAGACTATTGAAAGTCGCATCCGAGCAGAAAGCAAAGAGATCCTCTAAGTCAGGTTTGATTGCTGAAAATGTATAAAAGTTGTTTTCCATTAGCCCCATTTATTCTATGAGTACAAATGAGGGAACACCCTCTACTAATTACAACGAAAAGGATTCAAGTGGACAAACCTAAATTTTCCGGCATCGGGGTTGGGGTAAAATTATAATTAGGGATGATGAAAAGAATCACGCTTTTCACTGACACAACTTGGTAAAATATGGACTAAAAGTAAAAAAAACTACCGTGGAAGATCACCCAAATATTTGCGTAACAATTTTGACGGCAATCAAGAAAGTCCCCAGACAGAAAATTTACGAACTTCAGCATCTGCATGCTTGAGGACTGTCTTTTTCTGTTGTTCCGTGGCAAGCAGGTCGGACGGGTGATAACTAAATACGACAAAACTTCGGTTCGTACGGTTCATTTCACTGCCGGGTTGTCCGACACGGATCCCGATGAGCCCCAGCGAAACGTATAGTACCTGATTGAGTATGATCTTGGGGGACTAGAAACAATCATGGACGAACTGAGTAACTCGAAGGCGGAAAGTTCACAAAGTTAAACTAAATGAATGCCAAGAGGCTGTTTTCTGTTTCCTAAGGAGAAGGAGTATCGCATGATCTGGATTGCTTTAATTTCCATTTGGTTTGGACTTGCTCGGTAGCATTGTTCGCCCTATAAGCTCTTTGGCTACTGCTTCCTGAGCTTTGACAGAAATGGTTGACGTTTTCGGAGAATGACGATAGACCATGCGATGGTGTTAGTGAACAAATATACTTCTACCTGCTATTCTACGTTGCACCGGAACAGTAAACCGATAGAGAGTTGTGGGTTTATTATGGATGTTTTACCTATGCTACAATGATGAGGCTTCCACCAATGTTGTATAAGATGACCGGATTCGTGCATCAATGTGCCCACCATTCAATTAACCGGATCTCTACTGAAGTGCTACCTTTTAATGCAAAACACCCGTTGGATGATAATACAACTTTGCTGGCTGTAAACCTCGTATACCGACCTGGCCTTTCGCTCCTCTAACTGCGCATAGATACTGCGCTGTTCTCACGGCCTTCGTAACAATATCTATCACGACTGTGCAGCAACGATGTAACAAATTATCAGTGGTAATCATACCCCCACCCTAAAGGGTTGAATATTATGACACAACAGAGGATGCTGCGATACCAGTGTCTCCCTAGAGAGACCATGTTACGAAAGCGACCACTTCTGCCTAGTCTTCTCGAAGTGCCCACTGAATTTTCGGATGCTCAAGGGTACCCCTCCACTAGAACATCAGTCAGCTCATTGGGACGGCCCCCGCTCGAGGTATCGGATTTAGTTACGCCTGTCTGACGCATAATAAGTCGTTAGAGTTCCCAATGCAAGATTCCTGAACAACATAAGCCAAGCAGATCATATGACTTATGCTGTTTATATTGCCAAGACAGGTGGCTTCAGTCACTGGCTGCACTTGGTAGCTTATCGCTTCCGAGAACATGTAAGTTTACCGGCTATAGTAATGTCATTAACTGGACCGAATAAGTTACACGTATGGCTACTCGCACTGCCACATCGTGAACACGTTTTGCACCTTTTATTGCTGGAGGTCGACCGGTCGACACCGAATCGTCGTTCGAGACGGTGGGAAAAGCAGTCACATCGCTCAAGACAGAGCACATTCGCCCACAGCGCTACCTGGTGGAGTAGCAGTAGAAAAGCACGCTCGTCTGGAGTGTCGGGTTTCCGAGGCTCAAATCACAGAACGGCCAAGGATATGCACCGCTAGCGAGCTGTACTAACAGCAACACCGGAGTTCACGGCTTCCAACTAGAATACTACTGCCGGTACGGAAGAACTGTTCGAAAGAGACGGATGTGAAAATCTTCATCACAGTAACGCCGTAGTGAACATTACCATAAGACACAATTGATCAGAGGTTGACGAATACACTGGGCATTCTTTCGCCTGCTCAGCTTCTGTATTTTAGCTCTGAATGACTGACTACAAATACAGTAGTGCTGATAGTAGGGAACTTGAGACCTGGCTGAATATCTGCTGACGTACATCGACCAAAACCAGACTTATGTGACAGTCGAACGGTTGTTAGGCGAAATATTTGATTTGATAAGACATCTGTTATGCCTGATTATATGCCAGTGTTCCGCCGTTCCATCCGGTTTGAAATACAACTCTTGTCCGATGGGTAGTAAACTTAGGGTGTTACTAGGGCCTAAATGCCCTATTTGTTCGCGGAATCTCGTTAATCGAAGCAGGTAGCCTGCAGCTTTTCTCACGGCCCTATTGCTTCTCATTCAATGTCCCGCCTTCTTTTGAACTTGTTCAGAACGGTATCTACGATAATGTGATGACTGATGACATACTGGTCAGCTGCCACGGACGCAATCCGACAGAGGATAAGATTTCACCACGTCACGCTAGCCGATGAAATGCACAATTGGCGATGAAAACTGTATGAAATCATTGTTGCGCTGATATCCTGGCGTTTTTTTACGTTAATACCATCACATTTGTTGTTTACCTTAAAAATAATCTACTTGATAATCGATCCGATGGGGTCAGCGATTTGCATCGGCGTATGATTGGATGGAACCATTCCGCGATAGACTTTGGTAGAAAGATGGAACCTACCAGCTAAATTGTGCCACCGGGGACATTCAGCATGCACATGGTGCAGCCCATCTCTAGCACTGCGATTCAAGAAAGCGCGGACTAAGACGTAAGCGACCCACGAAGGCGTTTCTAACAAGTGGGAAGTCCTGAGGCTTCATGGATTTCCGATGATGACCGTGACCTTCATATAAATAATAGTTTGCTGCTTTGATCAGTGTTCCGTGATGTTTTTGACTGAAAAAACATCCTCAATCCACCACTCTTTAAGAAACAGTAAGATCTCTTCTCACATCAGTATGATTGTCTGAAGACCTGAAGTTGTCAGTCGGAGGACTAACCACACAGTACTTGCAAGTGTTTTGCGATGTTGACTCAAACAACTGAACAAACCATAACTGGACTCGAACTCCATAGTGCAGCTCGTGATATACCGTGTTACGCGCAAGCAGCAAGATCATCCATGGTACGGAAAGCTCAACTGTCGAGCTCACTGAGCAGTAACAGGAATTCAAACCAGAGGGACTTTTAAAAATACTTGTTCACCATAGCCGGACAGCAATCAACTGTCAGTCCAAATGATGTTGGGCTTTCTCGATCCTTGAAAGTGATCGACCTAGTAAGACTGCTAGTACCAAAATTTCCGACCCCTACTGGAAAGTCCTAATCAAAAGATAGCTCATTTAGCAGATAGGTCCCTGGCCGAAGGAAACCGGGGCATTACACTCATAAATACGGTAAGGAATACCTACAATGACCGATTTTTAACCTTCAACCCTTTCTAGAAAGCGCGAAATCGAAGTAAGATTAAAAAATCCTGGCAAATCCAAATGGCTAACAGTTAACTGAAAAGTATATGTGAATTGGAGGTCACGCGCTCCCGAAAAGTTTTGCAACGCTGTCCCAAGATTTCACTCAGATTCGAGTGAAGTAAGATCTCCGAATGATGCGTTTATTGTTCTTAACTGCAGTAACTTTACACACGAAAGTATCGATCCCTTTCCTACGTGCCGTTGGCTATCCAGCCGCCTTAAGGAGCGGCTTCCTCAGGCTCATTAATCGTGTGAACTACATAGTACTAGTACTCCTGTGATTCACCAGTGGGCACGCGAAACAAGAACGTCGCAATATTTCGGCTCCGTGAGCCCACCACCTGTATCACAGTTAACATCGCCCAGACCCAGGGAACTACGGCTGCTCTTGTTTACGTACTGGTAAAACTTACTGAGCATGGGTGTGGAACACAATAGACAGACCATGCGAAAGCGTCTCCATGACATATTGGCCGAAATGATCACTTGCGCCAGTGAGTGTGCGACACTTCCCGCGGCAGGTGGATATTGCGTGTTCGGCTATTGTGTAGACGCCTGCGGAGCGGACACAGACCTCATACAGGTCGCCATTAACTGTGCGAAAGGTCGTTAAGGTAGCGTCATGGTGATCCTCCCGCCTGAGTCTGTTTGGCAACTTAACGTAAGAGTCTGAAGACGTAACCCCCGCAGGAAATGGCAGTGCAAACACCAACGACGAATGAGATGGAACAACACGAGGTGAATCCAAAATCACTTTCCTGTCCACCTAGGTGAAGCGTGTTACAACCGGACCAAGAAAAAAACAGGAGAGGGAAGGAGCGTGTTTGCGTGCACCATGTGAAACGGTGGTGGGTCGTAATAACTCACTCGATTTGTACAGAGATGGCCATGTAGAAACAAGTCGATTTGGCCAATCGGAAAATGGAAAGACCGGCACATAAGTGGCACCAGCGACTGATTTTCTGACAACTAAACATCTGTGACGGATAGACAAATCCTGAGGTAAACTAATAGCAACCCAGCAAACAAGGGAATGGGAAGCAAACAAGGACGAAAGTACTAGGGTGAGGGTGTGAACATCAGTGAGCAGGATCTGTGTGCAGCAGCGATAGCAGTGACAATTACGTTTACACCTTTAAGTCAATTGGTCTGAACAGGAAATCGGGCATTCAATGAGGAAGCCATGAATGGGATAATAAATGCGATGAAAGTGGAGCGAAGCAAAAGACCAGTAAAGAGCAGCGCGCACCAAAACTAACGACACTAGGAAGGAAATGTTGTTTTCAAATCACTGCAGGAACTGGAGCAGCAACAGGAGTACCTGGCTGGTGAAAATCGCCGCGATGATTTTGTCTGCTGAAGGACCCCCGGGGAGCAGTACCGTTCACGAGACGTTCTCCTCTGTTATCAGATCCAACATGGTTAATTTTAGGTTGATCAGAAGTTGGGCGAGTGGAGTGATCCTCACCACCTGAGATAAGAGAAATGAGAACGAGTGGAAAATGATGAAAATATATAGGCTAAATGTGTTACTCTATGCTATCCAGAAATGATTCCCCTAGCTTTAAGCCAGCCTCCGACGTGATAAGCATGTTATGAAGTGAAATGAACAGATACTGACCGACACTTCATGAGTCGCTAGACTCTAACCTTCATCCAGCCTACATGAAAACCCACCTTTCGTTACCTATCACTGTCAGTATTTCCAGAGTACAAGAAACTCGTGAAAAAGAGATCAACTTCGTGTTGACATCAAAATGCTTGAAAGTCTCGTGGTATAACGGCGAGTGCGAGAAGGCCGTCCCGTTCCGTAGAGGACGGTAGCGGACATGGGTCTTTGGGAGCACCGTATGCTGGCGGCATCATCCAACACTCAAGGTCGACCACCACGTTAAGGTGACAGCTATTGGTCGGGAGATGTGAAAGAAAACTGTGAAGATGGTGTGATTATGGTACCTGGCGCTCACACCCCCCATCGATAGGTTTGATGGTTGCGACTGTTCTGAGATCGTACATCATTTCCTTTGTATGCAATACAGCGATAATCGGATTTCATTTGAATCCGTCTACGAGAATCGAGGTTTGACTATTCGGTTCATCTCAGAGCAATCTACGTCTATTCACTGTCGTAATCTGACGGAGCACTCAAGGAAGCAGCCCTAAAGGGTGTCAAAATGTTTCCTAGAGTTTTATCTAGGGAGTGGATATATGAATGAGTCATTGTCTTTGCATTTTGCAATCGCTTATGAAAAATTCAGTCGCACATGGACATTTTTAACGTCTACATACCTTTTCGATAAAAAGATGAAAAAGTTGCTATGTTGCCTTTCTGGAAGAGTTCGGGTCTTCAACGACCCCTCAGTATTCGCCACAGATGCACGTGAAAAACAGCAGCGAAATGCTTCACCGCTCCCACTTTTTGGACTGTCATATTCCAATTGGTGATACGGATACCTCCATCAGTACCATGTTTTTCAGTCACGAACGGAGTTGTATGACAGTTGGTCTACCATGCAGACACGACCTGGACGCCATTTTGCTTGGTACAGCCCAAAGCACCTTAGGCCCAGGCAAGCCTGTAGTCTCAAGACAACCGAAGGAAAAAACAAACTAATTCAATCGCTTTCCTTCCATTAGACATCTTCGATAGGATGCCAAGGTATGGTCACATGCCACGCGACATTGTCCTGTGTATGATGAATTGAGATCCGGCAGATAGATGGATCAAGAAGTTGCGCATTTATATGAAGTGTTGACTTTGAGCTACCGTAGCGGCAATGACAGAGTGGAAATGCAATTTTTTTCTTGACTCACCTGGCCAGAGTAGTCAGTTTATTGAGCTGTGAAAACACCATCAGTTGCACACCAAGTCAAAAATACCTATCACAATGGCGTCGCCACATCGATTGTGGCTGTCAAGTGACAACCACTGTACGACAAGTACAAGGTTCCTACAGCTGACAACGACGATGATGGCAACACAGGAATGTCAATCTTACTGTTTACAGCAGTAGCGTAATACTTTGCCAGAGTCAAACTACATCGTCATCATCATCATCGACAGCATGAGGTGTTCAACACCGATGCCTCAACGCCGTACTTCAAACTACACGTTCTAAGAGGCATAGTCACAAATGAATCCATGTTTTTGACTAGGCAATGAACAGAGAAAATTGGCGCACTTGTGTCACAAAGGCTGCCACACTCATTTAGGGACTATAGAAAGGAGGGTCAAGGTATATGCTTTGATGGACGTCGACTTAACCTGACAAGAGCAGTTCACTCAACTGATTCGTCGGTCAATGGCCTTTGTGATATGTTCACATCGTCCTATGTACGGTCGAATAAGCTCGGGCAGACAGATCGGCCAAGTAGTATCCCAATACGCTTGTGCAAGTGGCTTTGCAAATGATTATGCATGAAGGTAATGATGCTCAGTCATCAGGTCAACTGATTAGTCTGTAAACTGAGTTCGCAATATCCATAGAATCCCTAGACAGACTGAGGCCGTAACTAATCCTTCCTCGGCACATATACTGATGTTTCCGAGGCGGACATCAATCAACTCTAGCTTAAATTTTGAGACCCATAATGGCTATTCGCGGTCGAGCCGTCGCTAACAAAGGGCCAGGTTAAACCCCAAATTCGACCGAAATTATAACACATGATCTTTGAATTTTTGTGAACTGCTTAGTAAGACAAACTAGTTATGGAAAATGAGGTTGGTCAGGCCAATCAAAAGTGATGTTTATACTTTTCTGAATATGTAGAAGCGACCTGGGTAAACTCAAGACTGCGGCACAGAGAGGCAAGCCAGAATTGAATCAATCCCTATTACTGGTGGTATGACTTGAAGTCTGGCAACTGCTCTAAAAAGCCTGGACTCCGCCAACAATGAGCCCACCTGCACCAAAGTGACTTACTTTGGCTAACTCATCAACGCTGAGTAATTCAATCATGCAGAATACATCACTGAGATTCCATCCCGCTATTACCATAAGTACCTTTCACGTGACCTTAAAAATAAGCAGCTATTTGGTATTACTGGTTGTTGATCAGATAGCTGTTGATCTGTTTGCCGAGCTTGGCAATCGGCTTGCAAACGTTTCGTCACCACACGACGGCACATCGTCAGTGCGCAGTTGGGTGGGTACTTTTTCCTTGGCTGCGTGTGGTTATATAGCAGTCAAAGGCTATCTGTTATCTTCTGACGTGATTGGCTACCTGAGGTGTAACGAGTTTAGTGAGTCTATTGGTCCGTTTGTGATCTTTGTTGCGTTGTGGTCTGTGTTCCTTTGTGTTGATTGGTTATCCCAACGGTTTCTGATTTTAGTAGCTTGTTCTCTCTGGCCTTGATTCGCATTGCGTTGTGGTCTGCCGTTCTCGAGTTTGATTGGTTGCTTTTATCGCCCTATTTCCTCCACCGTGGAGGTTAGGCCACCAGAAGTGATACCCTCAGTCTTCGCAAGGACCCGACTGTCACAAAAATTTAATCATATTACCAACCCCGCTAATCTCACTACCAACACACCACGGTATACCCACGTTGTCACTTGCTTTAGCGGAACTTCCGTCACTCGCTAGTTATGAGCTTGCAAGAAGGGCTTCTCCAACCACTGTGTAATAAAGACTTCGGTGAATCAATGGGTTAAATGAAATATTCATTCCAAAACATCATAAATTTAAGAGTTATTTTCCACCAGCTATCGTTTCCAAGCTCGTTTTGCGAAAACATTACTGAGATCCCAGAAGTTTTCTTTTACCCTCACCGGTAGGTCATGTGGGCAGAGTATCCGGATGGCAAGCTAGCTGACACTGTGTAAGGTGACAAAATTGTTTCCCATCATCAACGGTTCGGAAAGATCAACAAACCTCGTCACATGTGCTTTACACCGGCAGTTTGCTACAAGAATGGGACCATAATATCCCGGCTCTCTGCAAAATTGGTTATCTGCTCGCAACTACCTACTTTATAGATTTTATGTACTTTTTTTCGTACTAGGGTTGTGGACGCACATACTGTGAACAAAACCACTCTCCTTCTCTCGTGTCTCGATTTTGGCACCTAGAAGACCTTAGGCAGTCGGACAAAAATAAAAAAAATCGTTCAGTTGTAGCACCCTTTCGGTGCCTAACTGTCATGCCACCCGAAGGTTGCACGAGGGCTGGGATACTGCCAGGTTGCCCAAGCCTAGACAGGGAAAGTCGAGAGTCAGAAGTCGGGTTTGAACCACGGACCTTCCAACCACTACTTTCGCGCTCTAACCACTTCGGCCGTCTCGCCCCCAGTCGGTCAAACATAAGGCTTCTAGAGCTCGGGTACAATCAGCATATTAGGGGGTCTTTGTGCAGCACATCCAGTCAGAGTCAAGTTGGAAGGGGAGATTCATCTGAGATTCACGTGAGTTTTCCGTCAAAATAAAATTAGCTTGTAAAAGTGCTCTCGCAAACTGCGTACGAGGTTCAAGTAGAACATAAAGTTGACGGGAATTGCCCATATTAGATGAACAGCGAGGCTAGTCGTACTCTATCGACGAGTCCCCAGTAATCCAATGGCCAGTGCACTCCGTCAAGAGTATATTGTGAACATTTCAGACATATTCATGATCATCAGGAAGTCATTTTGGTAGTCCCTGTGAGTATGCTTTCTAAGGGGAAACAGGTGTCCACAGAAGATTAGCTAGTAACTTGGTCCAGTCTAACGTGTGCGTACTGCCACCGGTAACAACATGGAGACACAAACAAACAGGCCACGAATTCAGATGGACGAATTCTGGGGACTAACCATGCTTCGAAAGTGCACTGTTATTCTTAGCTTGCACGTGTTGTGGACGACGTTGACGAGGCTTCGAGGTCTGGCGCCCGGATTCTTCCAGGTTTTCGGTGGACGCTGGTTCGTTTGTACGCACATCTTCGTAGGTCTCCGTTTGCGGGATGGTGGAGTCCCCGTTGCTCAGAGTACCTTGATTTGACGATGGCGGAGGTCTACGTCGACTACGTTGGGAAGAGCGGCCACCTTTTTGTCGTACTCCAGTAGCCGATGTGACATCACCAGACCTATAAGATGGAGCAGCGAAAATGCTATTACTATGGGGAAATGTGGTTATTTGCGTAATGAACTAGGCAAAGACCGTTTGCCTCTTGAGGGTCACCATACTTCGAGGATTTCAAAGTGCAGTTCCCTTAACCTGCAGGGAAAAATGGATCTAGATTACCGCGTTCGCATCACGAAGCCACTCACGATTAAGCTTGTGATTACTGACAGACTGGGAGGCATTGGACGTTGAATCCAAGGAAAACATTGAAAATGACACCCTAATTCATGTGCGGAAGCGCCTTTAGTGACTGGTTTGTCTCATTTCCAGGTCCATGGCTGAAGGGTCAGCAACAGCCAACGCAGCCGAATTTTGTCACCAATTAATGACCTGATCGTTTTTTCCCTGGACACGATTCTGCAGAGGGCTCCACACAAACATACGAGGCTTATGGTGGGGCCTGCAGAATATCAGCGACCTACCTATTGTGTGTCAACTACCCTGAAGGACAATCAGCGTACTTCAGCACTACTGGCTCAATGTTTTCACCGGGCCTGGTCAATTTTCTGAACACACCAATGACTAAACACTGAGGTTTTCAACGTCTTCAGTTTGAAGTGACCAGGTTTCTGATACATACGGCAGTACGCAGCTTACCGTAATACTGTAAACTCGACTTCCGATAAATAAATTATGAAGCCTATGGCGGAGATGCCTAGATTGACAAATACTTCTCTGACCATCCTCATTTGGATGGCAATATCGTTGTTAGTTAGAATACCGGGAGAAAGGCAGCTACTCAAACAAACTACCACTCCGACTGATTCACCGAAACACTGGGTAGTCAGGCTTGCAGTCGCACTTCACACCTCGCACACAGGAGACACAAACCAAACGACGAGATTGTTAAATACCGTTTACATTTCAACGAATCTAAATCCAAATGACCAGTTATTTCTATTTCATGGAAATCCCAAATGATAGCTACAGCTATAAGATGGAGCAGCGAAAATGCTATTACTATGGGGAAATGTGGTTATTTGCGTAATGAACTAGGCAAAGACCGTTTGCCTCTTGAGGGTCACCATACTTCGAGGATTTCAAAGTGCAGTTCCCTTAACCTGCAGGGAAAAATGGATCTAGATTACCGCGTTCGCATCACGAAGCCACTCACGATTAAGCTTGTGATTACTGACAGACTGGGAGGCATTGGACGTTGAATCCAAGGAAAACATTGAAAATGACACCCTAATTCATGTGCGGAAGCGCCTTTAGTGACTGGTTTGTCTCATTTCCAGGTCCATGGCTGAAGGGTCAGCAACAGCCAACGCAGCCGAATTTTGTCACCAATTAATGACCTGATCGTTTTTTCCCTGGACACGATTCTGCAGAGGGCTCCACACAAACATACGAGGCTTATGGTGGGGCCTGCAGAATATCAGCGACCTACCTATTGTGTGTCAACTACCCTGAAGGACAATCAGCGTACTTCAGCACTACTGGCTCAATGTTTTCACCGGGCCTGGTCAATTTTCTGAACACACCAATGACTAAACACTGAGGTTTTCAACGTCTTCAGTTTGAAGTGACCAGGTTTCTGATACATACGGCAGTACGCAGCTTACCGTAATACTGTAAACTCGACTTCCGATAAATAAATTATGAAGCCTATGGCGGAGATGCCTAGATTGACAAATACTTCTCTGACCATCCTCATTTGGATGGCAATATCGTTCTTAGTTAGAATACCGGGAGAAAGGCAGCTACTCAAACAAACTACCACTCCGACTGATTCACCGAAACACTGGGTAGTCAGGCTTGCAGTCGCACTTCACACCTCGCACACAGGAGACACAAACCAAACGACGAGATTGTTAAATACCGTTTACATTTCAACGAATCTAAATCCAAATGACCAGTTATTTCTATTTCATGGAAATCCCAAATGATAGCTACAGTAAGTGTGAGTCGGTTATACAAACAATATAATAATAATAATAATAATAATAATAATAATAATAATAAAGTAATATGAAGACGTGAAATGACTCCAGGTGAATAACAACCCGAACCTTATCTTCTGATAAGTTAGGCACCGAAAGGGTGCTACAGCTGAATGGCCTTCTCTTATCATTGGTCTCCTTGGAACATATGCAAAAGTATTAGACATCTGGCAAGCTCTCTCCAAGATGAAGTAAAATATTCTATTGCATGCCACAAAATTGGCCCAGATACGGCTGGAATTCCACTTAGTGCATGAAGCGTAGACACTACTCATTGATATTCGTATTAAATTGAAGACTCACACAAGCATTGTTGTATCTCCCAAATGTTTTCTCCAAGGAGGGATACACAGTGAAATGATCTGTGAAGCATGAAACTCGATGGTGGCGAAATTGCACAAAAGTACGGGACCATACGAAGAGACGGACTTGAAAAAATTGTAAATAACGACCCGCATGAAATCAACTATTTAGATTTAAGAAGACAGCTGAAAGAGAAACTTACCCCTCGGCCTCTTCCGCAGGAAAATGATTTTCTGGTTCTGCGTCCTTTTTAGCAGGAAGAGTCGGGGGATTTTTCACCCCCCTCAACCGATCTAGGTCTTGCAGACTCGCCACATGAAATTCCAAAAACATTCGCGCGTCCCGTATCGCTTGGCTGGTCCCAGTCAAGTGGAAAGCAACAAAATTCTCCATTTTCTCTTCCGGCATATCGCATATTTTCAGTCCACTAAGCCCCACACAATCGACAATGTGTTGTATGTGCCGTTGTCCGGAACCAACAATGGGACCAACATACGTGCGAGGAACTGGAATCACTTCCGTGGTGTAGTCTAGTAAAGCCCTGGCTTGCAAAACTGCTTCTTTGGACTGACGGGAAAAAATGAGTGGTACAGACCAAATGCGATAGATTGTGGGCAAATCCTACGCTGCATATAAGCTTTCAGGAAACGAAGAGAATCAGGGCTGACAAACCCAAGAGTGATTTTATAAGATAACTACGAATCCGGAGGCAGATAAAACGATGACACTTGGATAGCTGTAAGCAATTAAGCTGAAGCCTCAGCTCGGATGTTGACTGATATACAAAGCGCAACACACAATGGCAGCCGCAAGTAAGTGATAAGAGCGGGTATCGTCACCTTGGTTGCTGATATAAATACCCAGCTTAGATGACTAAGTCTAAAGGAAGCAAGGTTGAGTGGTAGATCCAGGGTCGATGAGCTTCAATGGGTTTTAGTAGCTCTGGCTGAAAAGTTGCTGAAGACTCAGTCACTCCAACGACGAAGATTGTTCGGAGGACCAATGGAAGAAATTGAAAGATCCAGTACTTGGAAGGGGGTTGTTGTACCGCGGGTACGAATACCGGTAACAAGCAGCTTTGGATTTACGTCCCCAGCGGTCGTTAACATCCGACATCGTACCAGCAGACAAGCGTTGGAGAGTCCGTTCTGTGAAACCCCTGGGTCTACGAGCTTCCCACGGGAGCGAGATAGCTCAGTGATGAGAGCGCGAACTTACTGACTGGGAGGTCCGTGGTTCGAACCCGACCTCCACTTCTCGAACTCCCTTGTCTAGGCTTGAGCAACCTAGAAGCATCCTAGCCCCCGTACTTCCCTCGGGTGGTATGACAGCGAGGCACCGAAAGGGGGTTACAGCTGAACGATTATTATTATTATTACGAGCGTCTCAGTGGCTAGGCGAGTTGTGCATGTTCTGCGCAAACCTTAAAAGCACGAGGGAGGGAAGTAAAGGACAGTTGCAAGGTTAGAGAATACACAGGTAGTTCAGAGACCAGCAGACAGTGATGGATCTTTATCACCATTAAGTGTTGGCCATGTTAATGTGGGGTTGATTGGAGGCACCACGTCGCCAGACAACTTCCGCGGTTCCGAAAATTCATAATGCAAACGAATAGTTTGTGGTCACTACGCAGATATAGTATACGCTCTCCATCGCCCGTACGTCTCGTGTCTACTCCAAATAGACCGCCTAATTGAGGCTCAGCAGCACTAGCCTACCTACCTACGCTTTCATGTCACAAGCGACCGCAACGACGTGATATTTGGTGGGACAGTAAAGCACCACCGTTGGAACACTGATGCTGTGCTGTCGATTAACACGACCAAAAAACACCTAGGGAATCAGAGATGTTGTCTTTTACAGACTCAAAGATAATCCTTTGGGGAGATTTTTACGGACGCTACCAAACGAACCGCAAACAGATGACTGTCAACTGGTATCCAACCAAGTAGATGCCTGTGCTCAGTGGCCCAACATCATGGTTGTACGAGGACTGGAATATTGTCACAGCGCCTAGATCTAGACAGGGCCTTTAAAGGTCTGTCGACATACTGCTACAGCAACGCAAGTTGTTAGGGAACAAGTCACCATGCCTACTGCAATCATTAACTTGGAGGACTACGATACCATGTTAGTCAGACGTCTATCCACTGACCAACCTAGTACAAGGAACTCTGAAGGTTTCGAAGTAAAGTCTCCCAGTACAATTCAGCGGGTCAATAAGATGCACAAACTACCACACAATGAAAAAGTCATCTTGCCACGACGATCCTGTGATCTCAACTGCACCGGGAAACCGTGCGGTGCAAACAATGCCACTGAAACCAGGTCGACTAAAGCACTTCCAGTCCTATGACTGAGGAGAATTTCCATACCAAAGATACAACGAGCAGTTGCATCAGGGTAACCAAATTCCAGAAGTGAAATATGGAATATCTGGGCTCGTCCCAATCGGTTTGAGGTGTACGATCGAAGTGGAGTCTTGCATGGGGTTTCGGAGATAACACAAATCGACGGAAAAGTTGGGTAAAATTTAAGCAAGAGATACCTGTCATCTAGTTTGAAAGTAAATTACATCGAAAACGTCAGTGTAGATCAGGGGAGGTATTTCGGTTTGCTTTGCTAAGTGGCAGTCTACACACGGAACAATGGTTAGAGGACTGGCAGATGGGTTGAACATAAATAACCAGTTAAAAGGTGAGAAAACATGAGAATGAAGGCCTGAAAACGAAGAGCTGCAAGAACGGACTCTACTTCCATTTGCCAAGCCGAGGAAGAGGGTTTTGCTAGAGATGCCCCGTCTTGAATGAAAAGTGACCCCCAATGTAGTAGGGATCCAGCCAGAACCAATGATTCAATATTCTCAACCCCTTGTTTGTGGAAGACCTGTCTAGCCATAGGGCGCGGGATGTTACAGTGCACGGAAGACATTTGTAGACTCGTCAGACCCTTGGTTCATTTTAGTAGTATTTCGACCGTACGGGGTTAATTCGCTGTGCGGATTTTAACGTTGGCTTTTTCAAACCGTCGTACCTCTGGGGAAGGTAGCATCACTGCTTCCATAAATATGAATAAGAGACACCACATCACATCGCAGAAGACAGTACAACTTCAACTCCATGGCCCTGGCACTACAATTGCTCGTGGTCAGGAGGCTAACTGTTCTTTGTCTGACTGCTCCCCTTTAACCCTTCCGGCGTAATTAGGTCATGTGGAAAGAAGTTCTACGCAGTGTAGCCCGCGGGACCGTAGAGGAACCCCAATCTGGCAACTACGTCGTAGCAGTTTGTCGTCGGAACTATGAGCTTTTGGTCGTATTGATGCCTAGTGTAAAGTTGATTAAGTCGGATGGCCTGGTTATTGTCAACTCGTTCATTATATGAACCTCAACTTCATTGTTTGCATATTCTCGATAGAATTCCAGCCAACCAAATCCGATAATGTTGAGCACGTCGTACCTTGGGGAAGGTAGCATCACTGCTTCCATAAATATGAATAAGAGACACCACATCACATCGCAGAAGACAGTACAACTTCAACTCCATGGCCCTGGCACTACAATTGCTCGTGGTCAGGAGGCTAACTGTTCTTTGTCTGACTGCTCCCCTTTAACCCTTCCGGCGTAATTAGGTCATGTGGAAAGAAGTTCTACGCAGTGTAGCCCGCGGGACCGTAGAGGAACCCCAATCTGGCAACTACGTCGTAGCAGTTTGTCGTCGGAACTATGAGCTTTTGGTCGTATTGATGCCTAGTGTAAAGTTGATTAAGTCGGATGGCCTGGTTATTGTCAACTCGTTCATTATATGAACCTCAACTTCATTGTTTGCATATTCTCGATAGAATTCCAGCCAACCAAATCCGATAATGTTGAGCAATAAAGATTTTGGAGGCGTAAAGTTAACTGCTCCTGTATCATACTTGAAGAAAGCTCATAACCGATCGCGCAAGTTGTATCTCACAGAAGGAAAGGCGACTTAGAGAAGCTTATCACCAACAACCAACGGCCACAACGGCCTCTAGGTAAAAGGATTTTCGCACTTACGATGGAGACATACTGGTTGAGAATGGATGATGCACAATGCATAACTGAAGTCGATTCTCATTATCTGCACGACGGACCTCAACTCCCAGTCAACAGCTCCGGGTTCAGTTGGCAAACCCGCCCGGATGAATTTGAATAGCCGGATTACTCGTAAGAGATTTCCATGAAAGTCATTTTTCCCAATTTCCGAGGAAAAATCAACCAGCTGGCACAAAAATACCGACGACGGTGACTAGACCCTGTCCACTCATACCAGCGTCCTCGATAGGCGACCTTCTTGACACTGACCATCGCCAAGGACAAACCACAGCAAATTATTCAAACAACCCCCTTCATCACGGCCGAAGTGACAGAAAGATATTGAAGCTCATCAACACCATCGCTGACAGCAACACCAGAGAACAGTATCCCAGCCCACCATGACACTTACAACTAACAATATTCTCAAACCCCATTGGCCGCCACGTGGTCACTAGCCGAGTCGACTTGCTGCATGCAGCAAGGCATGTTGATGATTCCTCTCTTCTTACACTTTCACGTATCCCCTCTCCCACGCTACCCGATCCCAGTTCGAATACTCTCTCGCATGGTACCAGCAATACGACTGACCGTTTTGTTCGGCATGCAACCCGCCCAGCTGCAGTTTCTGTGTCCGACTACAGTAAATATCCCTGAGCACCTTTAAATGCGTTTCAAACTTCACTTTAAATTCGTGCCGGTCACATGCCATTCCTTTGCAGTCGGGATTTCAAAAAGGCGAAAGTCGCTTAACAATGTGATGCGCATCAACGACAGTCCTGAATCCAAATAGACCACATAGGAGTCACTTACTGGTGGCGAGGGTCGATTACCTGCCCGCCGCTCCTTCTGGAATATCAGCGTGGACTCAGACCATGCCTTTGTGGGCTGCTGCATTTCACTGCGTTTTTTCAGGTCTGTGCAAAACGTGCACACCTCGCTTAGCCATCGAGAAGCTAGTGGGTCTAACAACCAAACGAAACTTTCAGAACCTGCCCCTCGAACGCCTACCGGACGGTCCGATGCCGAACATCACCGGTCACTGAGTACATACTTCTGGAGCTACTCCTGAGTAGCTGGAACTTCCGATCCAACCAAGCCAACACCATGGGAATATTGGGACAGTAGCTTTCTTGGAAGCCCGGCGATAGATTCCAACTGGCCGCAACCACTCAACAAGATGCACTATCCAACATCAGGTAAAACTGAGTGTCCGTGCAAGAGAAGTTCGGTGGACCCGAAAGGCCGAATGGGAAAAGCAGAAAAGGTTGCAAATGGCCGTAGGCTGTTCCATTTAATCCGGTCGATTGGTCCTCGGAAGCCCCTTGTCAGCGAAAATATCAGGTACCAGAATGACTGATATCCAGCAAAGAAAGTTCGGACTACTGGGCACAACATTTCGAAAAACAAATCAGCTGACCACCTAGTACCTCCAATCCACCCTTCAATAGAAAGGTAGATTGTGAACATGGAAATCCTTTCAGTTCCAGAAGTTTCCGAGTGTATGTCCCTACTCAAGCGTCATCGTGCTTCTGGCACTGACGACTTTCCACTTGCTCCATTCAAGGGTGGCTTTGAATCCGTCAGCCTGTGCCTATCTAGCTCATTTGGGTATATCTGGGAGAAAGGTACCGTTCCAGATAACTGGAGTCGATAATAGTGCCCATTTTCAAAGTCGTACTCGCAGTGAATGTACTGACCACCAAGTAGTCAGCGATTATAATAAATAAGGCGATTATGCATAGTTCCGCACTACACAATAAACCACTTGTCATCTCGGTTGACGAAAAGTTTGCAACCCAATGGTCACGCTCAATGACCAACTCATTTGAGTGTATATCCGTTGCTGGAATGCTTATTGATGTTACAGGCCAAAGTATCAGAATATCAGCTGCCTCCTGGAGATCCAAGCATCTAGCTCTAGTACACGTCAGGTCCAAGTGATGCTTTTACCCCGATTTCATTGCTGACATGCTTCGGTATAGATCGCAATTGCGCGTAAGGACAGAAACAATCTCACGACCGTCTTCTTCGCAGCAACGATCCCCACACTGCAGTCCACTCCTGCAGAGACCATCGTAAAATAGATTAAGTGATAATAGATACAGCACAGGCAATGCATTACCGCCTCCACTGCTTGATATGACTCGCATTCACACCTACCAAAGTCTGACGCCTCCTAGTCTGTTGCCTGGCAGTACGGGAGACAGCAGACTAAGTGGAAACCCACGGTGAAGCAAAACGTGCCAAAAAGGGTAGGAAATGCGGTGCATGCGAAGACCGAGTGAAAACTCACCTTCCCAGATATCTGAAATGTCCAAGTGGATCTGTTTAGCTTGATGGAAAACACACCCTCGATATTGCTGGCTCGTCGTATATTTGATCCCTGAAACCCGATAGCATAAGGTATAAGATGTTCGGGAACGTAGACCTCCTCGATGAATGGAGCGGCAATCTGAAAGATTAACGAACATTAAAAAAATGTTTACCTGGCTGACTCGCGAAGCTTCCAGCTTACGTGACAACTCTTCCGTTTGTTGCAAAATCAAAACCTTCTGGCGCAGCATATCGATGAACGTATTATCTATCACGGCAGCCCTTTTCACTGTGGAAACATCCGGTGAAATGACGAGCAAACGAGCCTTTAGTTCGTAGGTTTCATCATCTTGATCTTTCACAGGCGTCTCGGGCTGGAGAGCTTCCGGAGCCATGCATACCAAAACCGGTAAGCCACACCGGCGCGCGAAATGCTGATAGTTTGCTGGTTCTCTGCAGCTTAGGAATGGGTTAGTACACGAACAACAACCTACTAGTTGACCAGAGAATCTGGGATGTCTATAGCATGCATATGGAAACTGGAGGCAGTGAAATTAGATTGATGACTACGCGGCCGAAGCTGGTGCTTTTCAACAATGTCTGTTTTCTCGATGGATAATGGGAGAGGAATGCTTATCCGACCGTTTAAAACCTCCACCTTCGTAGTAGAGTGTTTTGCGGGTACCGGGTCTGTTGTAAACGTCGACAACAACTCCACTATCACAAAACCTCCGCCCACTTTCTTTACACGCCCGGGCCACCAGGCTGAAAGCCTAGAAACTAAGGCCGAGTCATCTCCATCAGTCGATTCTGTTGGAACGGCACATGGAATGAGCACATCGACCTCTTGACCCTGTACGGGATCGTACGGGAAGCTGGCCAGCTCAGGCGGAAGCCGCATTGCTGATGGGGGTAAGGTAACTTCAGACACATGGTTGTTGTTCGACAGATCCAGTAAGTGAACCTGGAACTCGCTTAAGGAAGTAAGTCCACCTATGATTCCCTAGAAATTGTATTATATCGCGAAGTATGAAGTACCGGATAGAATTCTCCATATGATCCCTCTACTTCCACGGGTATTCCAACGTCCATTTTCGGCGGGGCGGATGGTCTTAGGGCACGAGGAGCTGCGCACTGCGTTGATTGGACAACCAAAACGAACTTTTGATGAATTAAAATAAACTAGGATAACAAAAAGATCGAAATGGGCCAAGTACAATGCCTGTATAGTTTATGCGTTATTGCTAAAAGCTATGACAACTTTGGGGGGAATTGTTCGTGGGATGGCATTGCGGGCAATTCAATTTTTCATACAACTATCTGGCTGTCATTGCCCCTAAGCCTCACAATGCCTTTGGCTACAAATCCTTGTGAGATTAAGGAAACTTTTTAGCCTAAACGATGCGTTTTGTTGTGTATGCCCTGTGTGTCCCCAAACCAAAGACCACCCTGATGTACTTTCTTTTTCTCCAGCTTACCAAATTACATTGTCCACTGAGGGGAGACTTTCCCAGCTTCGTTGGGACGACAGGATGCCTAGATGGTTCGAAAAAGTTTAGGCTGGCTTCCAAATTCAACTTCCTGTTTGTTTACTTCATCAGGGATTAGTAGAGGACTTCGAAAGTTCTACTCCATTGAGCGAAAACTGCTCGCCGGCTGTGCTTTTTCTCAGAAGTGCGCACAATCTTCCTCAGAGAGTTCCGCTCAAAATAAAGGAATACTTTAATAGGGTTTGTCTCGTTCGATAGTACACACCACAAGCCCTAAATCTACCTAACGACTCCCACTTTCACTAAAGTTTGTTTAAACTTATTCGATGTCCGGAAATTTGGTTTTCATAGTCTGTCAAGGCCCCATGCGACTGACGTCGCCCAGTATTCGCACATTAGAATTGAATTTTTGACAGCTATGACGTGTCTGATTGATTAAAGGATCGGGCAATTAAGTTCAGAATACAAGTTCAAACTTTTGAGCACCGTCTAGGCATCCCCGGGTCACAACGATGCTTGGAAATTATTTCACCATACTTTTCTGACAGGATTATGATTGGATAATGAAATTTGGTGAGCTGCAGAAATATGAAAGTGGATTAGTATGGATTTCTGTTTGAGCACATATGCGACAAAATGCAGCATTTGGGGGGACACGTTTTACTATAGTCGTAAAGGTTTTGAAGCTAAGAGCATTGGGCTGCTAATAGGCCCTGCGACTGATAGCACTGAGCAGAGAAAATAAGTCCTTGCAAGCTGTGTTATTTATCGAGGCACCATATTGTAAATGCAAAGGTCTGTGCTTAGTGTGCTCTCTTTAACTTCCTGGCACTGGCAGCTTGTTTGATTAGTCGATTTTTCCAGGCCCATAAATACTTCTCTTTGAAGCGAACAATCGAACGAAACGAACGAAACAGCAAAACGAACTTCGTAAATGTGATTTGCTCAAAAAGAAAGTGTCCAGGTGGTCATTGTCCAGCCGGAATGTGTAGATTTTTTATAGGCTGTAATTATCTTGTTGTCCAGTCTTCTCTCGAGGTTTGCTCCTCTGTAATGATTTTCATGTAATGTTACTTCTCCGTGCCTACTAGGAGGCACAGTAGAGTGTTGACTCGGCTGTGGAAGTGTTGTTCATAGCAATCATAACCACAGAGACGCGCACCAACCTCTGGTTATTTGCAGGATGGTGCAAGAGTATAAGGTGTTTAATATATAACTCTTTCCCGCTGGATGCAAACAAATTACTACGGGATTGGAAAGTTGTCACGGACCGTACAAGACCTGACTTCATGTGACCGCAGATGACCAACTCCATGAAATCGCCCTGGGCGTGGTAAATCGTGGTTACCAGCAGTAATAGTACCGTTTACAAGTGGCGCTAAATTACATGTATTCTGTAACCAGTACCGTGGAAACCTAACCTGAACGGGAGTTTTAGGTATGTTGTGTAAACCGAGTCTGCATTGTTTGTGCATTGTCGATAAACGGGACCAGGTTGTGCACGGATGAAGTGCGACACGGAGCCCGCGATGGGCATTCAATTTGTGATCTTTAAATTAGGTGGCTGAGGCCATACAGCTAAGTGGTCTTTGATCAAGTGCCAAAACACCATGTGGCGCTTGGTTGGTGATGTCCTACGAGCCGTGGGTTTGCAGCCTGTGTCACCCATAGCATGCAGCTGAGGCGGTTTAGCTCCGCCTAACGCGAGGCTTGAGGATTGCGGTATGCGGTCAATAACCAGGTCGCATTCAGCCAGCAAGGAAGAGTCGATGCAGCGGGATAAAATTTAGTAACTCAAGGTAAATCAAGGTAAATTAAGGTTATATTGGTCTAAAAAGCATTTTGCTTTACAATGACCAAAGGATATTGGTGTGTGTGTATGTATACAGATAAACGGAATGATATGACATATATGTTCTATTGTTTGTAATCTGCATGTCAAATGTTGATGAGGGAAGTTGGGTAAGATCTTATGTATTCGTCAAGCGAATGTTTGAAAGTCTCGAGGTTACCACAATCCACAACAGATGTTGGTAGTTTGTTCCACGTGAGGGATACGCGGACTGAAAAAAAGTAGCGCCGACAGTTAATGCGGGAACATGGAATGTCAACGGCCAATGGATTCCGTCGGGTCTGTCGGGCCAAATTAACTGTGAACAAATGTTTTAAAGGGTGATTAGGGGTGTTTATTATTAACTGTTGGTCTTTGTGGATATAAGTGTTCCGGTGGGAAAGTGAAACGCCTTCGATGTCGCGTGTCGTTTTTGACACAGTCAAGTGTTCATGAGCTGCTACATTCCAAGAGGCATCACAAAAAGAAAAAAACGAGAAAATTTCGTGGTGCTATGGGCCCGATTGCTAGAAGGTGAATTCCGCTTGTTGATCTCTTCGGTCTCAATGGCTGCCAATATCTTGCATCGCAAAAACACAATGACTGCTGCACTAAATCGTTCGTGTCATCCAGACCGCATGAGATTATAGGGGAAACGTAAGATACAAGTAAATGACCTACCAGTCTGTGGATGGTTTTCCAAACAGGTACACCCCAACCATCATCCCAGGATGCAATAGTATACCATAGCGGTGTGTACAAAAATCTCTGATGTGCATGTGACCTGTCTTCGTTTGTAAAGCTAGACTGAGCAATTTCCGCCATACGGTGACCGCCCATTTAAATGGTTTCATAAAGTTTGCATAAGGACAGGCCACCAAAGTCCCGTTTACTGAATTCAAACATGAAAGAAACCATTTGCAAGCTTTTCGCTTCCTTCCGCAACTATCAATCTGATATCATTTGTGCACTCCTGACGGTAAGCCCCCCTTTCGCTAAAAATTTTTAGTTAGGGGGTCGACGATCTGTGGTCCGAAATTTGACGAAGAATGCAGCACCATCTGCACAACGTATTTTCCCCCAATAACTTCCCCACGCATGTTTGAAGTAGCTTCCCATGTTTACCCGACCGGGAGTTGTCCTTGTCATTTGGCGGTTTTCGCCCACCAGGATGACATAAATGAAGTGTCCAGTACTTCCCCTTGAACCTTCAGATATGAGTAGTAACCCTGTCAACTCGAGGTCTCATAGAAAGGCACCTTGAATAAGGTTGAGCTGGGTCATAGATGCAGTGTGTGCAACCAACCAGTGTAGGTATTACCACATATCATCCTGTGGAAGTGCACGCTTTTGTGTTGAAAGCTTACCGCGTTCCCTCCATGTGGTAATCGAGTCAGCGGTAAAATGCTAGTCAGCCTAACTTTAACCAAACAAAACTTAAGTATCAGATTGTTTTGAAGTTGAAGGTGGGTTGTGTGTATCAAGGATCATCAGACGTGCTCCATAGTCGAAGCACGTCAAAAGCAACGACTACCTTCGCAGTAGCTCGGTGGACACGACCAATGAGGGTGACACCCGTTTTCCCCCTTAATCGAACAGCCCCGTTTGCGTTTTAGAACTGTAGGATGCAGGTTTCACAGAATTCTCTGGAGTACATGCGAATAAGACCTGGAAAGACAACCGAGGGGGGAAAGAATTCATTTTGGGCCGATTAAAAGGGCAGTTCCATGGCAAACTTAAATGCTCCGTGTTCTTCTGCCCAAAGTCAGCGGCCTCCTTATTTAGACAGTTTCGTGTGTCTTATTTGGCCGGGATCGCCCCTGCATCGTTGTCGCATCGAAACCAAGCTTGCCAACTATCGGCGTGGCCAGCTCCAAGTGCGTATGAAATTCCCTTTTGAGGGTTGCATGCATGCTACAGCTTTTCGTTTGCCTGCGCTGTCCACCCGAGAATATGGTCTTGTGGGAAGCTGTTCGGCTGTATCGTGTTTCTCCCGAAGCTGAGTATAGGGTGCTGTTTTTGATCTTCGACCTTCCTTAACCGTGTAGACGTATAGACGGTCGGTATCGACAAGCGGGCCTCTTCACCGACCTCCCAGTTTACGTGACCCCAGTCCGCTCCTTCAAGTATTCCAGTGACCCTTGCACTAGACCTCCGCTCCTGTGGTGGTAGTCGTGCTTCTCTACTTGCCTTTTTCTACCTAGTCATTCCCTGAACGGTGATCAAGTTTCCTCGAATTTTTCAATTTTCCTTGCCCCCCGAAGAAAACCGTCTTGCAGGCCACAACCCGATTTCCTGATCAACTATGGGGGGCAGGTGTCGGCCATACATCAGGAAAAACGAAGACTTGCTTGTGGTTGGCCGTATCGACGCCCGATGAGCTGAAAACACCCTAGGCACGTTTATTTCCCAGTCACCTAGTTTATATGTTAGCAACGTCTTGATTATTGAGTTATTGTGTACGGTGGGGCCATCTGCTTCCTGGCGGTATAATGCCGCTTTTAACCGTCTGATGCCCAACTTCTGCAAGCAACTTCCAAACCCCTCGCTCTCAAGGCAAAGTTCGCGATCCGTTAGGGT